CCACTCAATAACCAACTCTCAGGGGCAGTAGGTGGGCGAGCTTCAGGCACGCTCATCTCGATCGTCAAGACGTTGCTACGCGCGGTCTTCCGCGGGGGGAGCTGCGTCGACGGGTGCGGGACCGCGGCGCAGCCAGTGCCGTGGCGATGCCTCCGGCTGTTTGCGGCGGGCGGCTTGCTGCTAGCTGCGATGGCGAAAAACTCGTCTCGCCACACGCCAAGGGCTTATGCTCTGGCGAGACGTGAGGCGCATGCGCCCAGGAGGGGAGGGGGCATGTGTAACGACACTGCTAGAGATGCCTTTCGGGGCCCAGAGATAAAACTTCTGTGATGCCATGCGTGACCTAGTAGTGTCCCCAGCTATGGGCGTGTCCACGTTGGAGCCAGGTGTGGTGTGGGCGCGAGAATAGCTCCGCCGTTCATGGAGGCAACCGATGCGAGTCGACTGGTGTGTGTCGTCGTGGTTTCGTATCAAGAATTCTCTCTCTCTCTCTCTCTCTCGGAGACCCGTGTTATGGCCCTGCGAACGCGCACCCCCGGGGCTAGGGCTCTCTAGCCCGTAACCCGATGCCAATCATCCGGCCCGCTGGGTGCGCTTCTGAGCTCCCCGGCCCTGGATGTGCGGTTGATGACTGCACTCCAAGTGCTCCAAGCGAGCGTGGAATAGGACCGCCGCAAGCGGCGTGGCGTGGAGCGGTTGAGCATCCCTCCGGGGGCCCCTCTGCGCCGGGGAGGCGTTGTTGGCGGCTAGGACGCAAGCGTCCGTCGCCGTTTTCAAACTCGGGGCCCACTCCGCTACGCTCCGACCCGAATTTGGAGGGCCATGAAATTTAAGGTGTTGCTGCGCAAAAGGGGTGGCGCGCGGGCGCGCGCGGCGGCAGGCGTCGAGCGCGGAGCGGCAAACACAATGACGTCGGAAAGCTCTGCATCAAGTATACAGTAGGCGCCAGGACGCGTGTGAGCACGTCGACGTCGAGCTCGAGCTGCTTGAGGGCGGAGAGATACGCCTGGGAGGGCGGTGAGGTGGCGGGGCTGGGCTGGGCGCGAGGCGAGAGGAAGGGGGAATGGGGAGGGGGGGAGGGGAGGAGGAGAGGGGAGGGGGAGGGGAGGAGGGGAGGAGGGAGGGGAGAGGAGAGGCGGGCGGAGTGAGGAGTGAGGGATGGGTCGGGAGGAGTGAGGCAGGGGAGTCGAGGCGGGAGGCGGGAGGGAAGGCGGGCGGGGAGGCGGGAGGGGAGAGGTTCCGCTCACCAGCCTCTCTGCGAGCACCGCCTGCTCCAATCACCCTCTCGTGCGCGACCGCCGTCTCAAACTTCTCGCGCGCCTGCGCCTCCAGGAGGGCCGCTGCCTGCTGCAGCTGCGTCGAGTGCTCCGCGCTCAGCTGCTGCAGCTGCGCTGAGTGCGCCTCCGCCGCCGCCGCCTGCTCCTCGCGGAATCGCTCGACCAGCTGCGCCTCGATCGCAGCCTTGGCCTCCTCGACCGCCGCCGCGCTCGCCGCCTCCTGCCGTCGCATCAGCTCGACGAGCTTGGCGGCGTCCGCCTCCTCCTGGCACTGCAGCGCTTGCTGCAGCCGCGACGCCTCCGCGTCCCGCGACTGATGCGCCTTGAGCAGCTCCATCAGGTGCGTCACCTTTCCCTCCAGCTCGGACGCCGCGGTGGGAGCCGGCGGCGCGCCGTCGCAGCGCGCCGGGGCCGACGGCGAGAGCCTGTGGAGGAGCCGGTGGAGCAGTCGAGACTGCTGACCGCTCCTCCATGGTCCCCCGCCGGTGGACGCCGAGTGCAGTCATCGGTATGCGGGAGGCGTGCTCAAGGGCTGGCGGGGCGGACGCGACGACCTGGCGTTGCCGTCGCGGAGGGCTCGGGCTCGAATGAGCGCCGCCGGCGACGCGTCGTTGCGGCCGTGGCCGCGCGGGCCCACTGCATCGACGGGCTGCTTAGGGGGGGGGGGGGGGGGGCCC